GGATGATATGCATTCCTTCAGGTAATTCTAAGCATTTATATTTTAACATAGTTTCCTGGTTTTATCAGCTTGCCTGAATCACTCATGTTCCATCAGGCATCTCAAGTATCTCTGGAAGATAAAATAAAGCAGTTATCTGTGAGCGGTAATCTCTCCTGCATYAAGCATTGAGTGGTTTGTTATGGTCATCAATAACGTCGTCACTAAAAACTCAACCCTTACTAAACAAAAACAGATTAGTTATCTGTGCAAACACATTCTTTTTGGATAAGGATTTCACCCTTTGGGTCTGTCTGATGAGGTCTGGTGAATACAAACAAAAGGAGCACAATTCGATTATAAAATGTAAAAAGCTTTGTCTTCAGATTTTACATTTTGGGTCATTTTCACAATAGTTTATCTCCAAATCTTGAAACTCATTAAGCATTTAAAAAATAGGATTTGCTGCCACCTTGTGGCAACAAAGCTTCTGTTCATTAATCTGCTTGTATATTTTCTCTCAAAATGTTGTTCTTTTCACAGCACTTATTATGTTATATTTTATTGATTCATTGTAGTAATTAGGTCAAATAGACTCTAAAGCATGAAAACTCTCAGTTTCAGGCATTTTGAACTGCATGGACTAATTTAAACCTTCAGATTATCAAGGTCTAAAATGATGTACAGAACAGTTTATACAAACGGTGTGTTTCCAGAGCATTATGGACATTTAAACCCTTTCTGTTTTCCAGCTGCAGCACATTCAGTTTATGTCTCTGAACCTGCTCACCCCTCCACACAGAAGGAAACACCCACAGTTGCCACAGGAGGACCTGAGCTCTGGATCCAAGAGGACATGAGGTCTGTCAGGCCTTCAGCTGGCAGAGTGCTTTTCATGAAGGATCATTATTGGCCCAGCATGAAGTCAGGTGGATTATATAATGACTGTTCCTGTCATTCTTTTCAAAATAAAACAATTTATATGTTCTGACTTTAAAATTCTGGGAGGCTAGGAAAAGAAATTAAAAACAGCAAATGTAAACAAAGAAAAACATTTTCCCAAAGACTTCAAGAAAAATATAAAAGGAAAATCAGAACTAATACTTGGGAAACACGTTTGCTGAAGTAAAATGCACACCGAACTTTAGCTCAGATTTAGACAACTGGTTGAATTATAAATATTTTTTGTGTGTTTCCTGATATGAACTGGCTGTGGTGGCCATCTTGAATGAGATCAGTTCTATGTGTACATCGAATGAACATTTCAGAAAAGTTTCATAAAAATCCATCTTGTGGTTAATTAGATATTTTGCTAACAGAGGGGCAAAGTTGACTCCGAATCATTAATGGTAAAATTAAAATAAAATGCATGCATATTGTTCGTGCTTTAATATATATATATATATATATATATATAGGTTGTGGATGACTCTCAGCTAAACCACAAAACATTTAAAAATATCGACTGAATTGCAGCCACTTCTGTCTTTGTTTCACTTTGCTTAGCTGTAGCAACCATTTTGAATTTGGTTGACTCTAAGAAGTGATAGATGTCCGTACAATGACCAATTTCTGCATTAAATTGCACGACACATTTTGCTTACAGTGGGTGAAAACAGAAGCCATGCTTTTATTGTGGAGGGAAAGCCCGCATATTTCCGGTGCTGCCCCCCGTTATTTCCCTCCGACTTGCCGCAGCTCCTCACAGACCCACCAGGCGCACCGGCAGCCCCCGTCTCTGCTGACTCAGTGCCTTAAGAGCAGTCCCTTCACCCGGTGAGACAGCAGCCCGCAGCACCGCTCCGCAGTCATGGCTAAAACCGCAATCGGTGAGTTTTTATTTTATTTTTATTTATTCTTTGTAATCTGTATGTAAATGACTGATTATTATTTGAGCTGGTAGAGTGATGATGATGGTGATGATGATGATGAGGCTGTGGCGACACCCATGGCACAAAAGGATGCTGAGGGATGAAGGAGAAGAGGGAGCGGCCAAACTCCCCTGCAACTTAGAAAACTGCATTTATTCGCTTCCATGACCTCCACTTTGTGTTTTGGCTGCGAGATTATTAATTCATGCGGGGTTTTAATCTATATTTTTTATGCGTGATTACAAAAAAGCACGAGTCAGTTTAGTGACGCATATATCTAATTGCTTTAATCTGAAAATACTAAAAGCAATAAAAATGAGAATATTGTTGTTATAACCCTCCCCGTGCGGTTTATTATGGAGCATCATTTGATGGATGCTGCACCTGCCTCCCCGCCGCTGCCTGACTCACAGCCGCGCGCAAAGCATAATGCAGCGACCCCACCCAACATCTCCGGTCCCCTTCAAAGCAGCCCCTGCTGCTCCCCACAGGGTGGGGAAAAAAAATCTCTCTGCGTGACAAATCCTCTTCTGAAAACTGGGCCATCTCCTTTGGCTGAGACAGTTTTTTTGTGCGGTGACCGCTGCAGACATGAATTACGGGGTGGTGGGGGTGGGCGGCGGGGGAGAAAAAATATCAAAAAAGAAAAAAAAATTGGAGCATCCACCCTTCTCAAAGGAATAGCTTTGCTGTCGAGGGAAGAAATGATGAGTGGCGATGAAAATGAGGAACCATGATCCAGCCTTATTTTCCTCCCAGGAGGGAAATAGTTTCAGATTTTTTTCTCAGAAATAAAACAGACTGCGTGCTTTCGCAGGCGGGAGGCCTTGGCTGTTGAATTTCCAAATGAAGGCATGAATTATTTGTAGTTTTTATGACGAGATAAATGCCTAAAATGACATGTGGTGTTTTTTAAATTTATTTATTTTCCTTTCAAAGAGGATAATGAGTGGTGATCACTCTGGAGGATAGTGTGTTTGTTTTCTGGTTGACAGAACACCTGATGGATGGAGGGGCATGCAGAAGGACAGTGAGGGTCCACTAAACAATGATACCCTCCTCCTCCTCCTCCTCCTCCTCCCCTTCTTCTTCCTCTGAGGTTTGAGCTGTGGACAGGCAGACAGGGATGGGCACCGAGCAGACATCAGGCCACTCGTCTCTCACAGGGTGGCTGAGTTCAAATTTTAATTCACCGCTGTAGGAGGAGCTTATTTCAGCTTGTTTTTTTTAAAATCATAATCACTTATGGATGAATTAGGACCAGATTTATGAGAATCTGTGAATTTGTGAGCTATCCAGTTTTCTCGACTATCTCGACAATCTGATAAAAAATAATTTCCAAACTGATCTGCAACAGGTGAGATATTTACTGTTAATTCTGTCATTTTTCCTCACTTACAGGTGTGGTCATGTCCAGTCGTTTCATCAGGTCACATCCGGTTTTGATTGTGTTTTTGCGTCTTTAAACCTTCCTACCTTGTTGTTATCTGCATAAGCTCCCCTGGACTCACAATTCATCCTGATTYATTAGCCTGTCCCATCGATCTGTGCGGCACACTCCCATTACCGCTTCAGATGACTGTTGCTCCTAATGACCGCCTGGGAGGAGTTGACCTCAGTTGGTGTTCTGAGAGCTCAAGAGATGTTTGTCACCTGGAAATATTCAACCCAAGAGGTTTAACATTCTGGTTTCTCAAAAAAAGTGTTGTTCTGTTAATCCATGGTTTTATGTTGACACAAACGGACTGTTTTAAAGAAAAAAATTCCACAAAATGATTAAGTTTCAGATTTTATGCATTAAAATTATCCCCTGACACCAGCTCTCCATCTATCCATGTTCTTAGTGGTCTAGGAGCCACGGTGGTTCGTTTAATAGTCCATTTTGCTCTTGTGATTGCTTCATAATTTCCTGACTTTATTGTTGCCGGGGCGGCTCGACTGTAAAGTTGCTGATCGTGCATGTCTCAGACTCGTGATGCAGAGCAGCTACAGCACCCAGGGGGGTCCGTGGGCCTTCCATGAAACCAGGTTGCATTTTGCTGGATGCCTTTTAATGGATTTGTTCATGGCTCTGTGTGACTGTAAAAAAAAACCCTTTCTAGTTGTGCTGTTTGATGGGAGTAAGACGAGGAGAGGTGGGAGCACATGCAGGCGCGGCAGGTTGTGCTGATGCAGGAGGAGCACGGGAGGCGACGGATATCGAAAAGGAGAGCAGCAGCTGAGATGGAGGGCTGGGGATGCAGGGAGGGAGGCGGGGAGGATCTCTGGGGCGGGAGGTGCAGCAGATATTGATCATCTGAGCTGTTTGATGGATCGGAGGTGGAGCTTTCTGATGGCGAGATGCTGACCTGGCTGGTTGGAGCTGGAGGATTAAAGCAGCGTCAAACTTCTCTGACATTTCTTTTATTCTTATTTCAGCCTGACGTGAGAAAGCTGCTCTGTTGTCGAATAAACACCTGTTTACTGAGAAATAATCTATTTTTCATGAATAATGCTGTATTTTGTGAACCATTGAGAATGTAATATATTTTTGATTATGGGTAAATAAAGGAAACAGTTTGTGGCTTTGGATTAGATCGCTATTCCAATTCACTTTAAGCAGTAACACGAAGATAAGGTGGAAAATAAATCGGCTCTGACACAATAATAACACTCAGTTTATGCATCTTAAATGAAACCAGAACTGTAAATGTTGCTCAATATTGCAACAGCAACACATTCTTTTATGTAGCGTATTACAAGAAACTCTTTAAAGTAGTTTGATCAGAACATAATCCAGATTATCTGCTCCAGGTTCAGACATCATGAGGTTAACAGAAACGGCTGCTGGAGTTTTGACTTTTAGGCAGCAACAGCCCTTTAAATGTATCCAGCCTCCCATGTAATCAGTAAAATTTGCTAATTACAAACCAAAGTGCTTTCCACCTGAGGGGGCTGCTTCCATTAGGCCGTCCTGAGGGCAGCTGAAGGTGGCAGATATTCCTGAGGGAGCTGCGTCTAATCCCTCTGTTTGAACGGCGTAGGTGTTGTGCAGCCAGTCGTTTCCTCCTCCGGTCTCTTTTTACATGCATCAAAACGCGTTTTCTTCCTCAACCATCCATTTCTCATCTAGAAAACAAAAAAAATCTCATCCGTGCCGTGCTCCTCCTCAGGGAAAGGGTTAACAAGGCCATCAGAGAGTAGTGAGAGCTACATCTGAGAGTTGATCACATTACCGGGGCGTCTGCCTGTCTGCAGGGCAGAAAGCAAGACGCACACTGAGAGCGGAGAGAGTAATCAGGGTGAGAAAGAGGATTAAGCATAGAAGCTCGTTCACAGCAAATCTCATTTCTGCTTATTGTGACTGTATCCTGCTGCAAATCATGAATCAAAGTGCCACATTTGCAGCTCCGCAGGCCTTGTGCTCTGGGTGATGGATTATTCCACCTCTGTGGCAGTCAGCATGCAAATCTGCACCCCGGTGCAGTCTAACTCCCCCTGCAACAGAACTCAGGATGTTTCACAACCTGCAGTGTGTTGCAGATATTTTTTGCCTCTCCCCCCCTGCAGGGACTGCTGCTGAACTTCAGACTCACATTAGTGGTTGGTGCCAAAAACGTAAGACTAAAAAAAACTAAAAACAAGGTTAGACAAGGTTGTTTGCTCTTTTCCTTTTTTCCCTTCTTGTCTGCGGTTTTGGAGCGTTTTGTTACACCTTACTGAGCCGACTGCAGGTTGCCAAATCCTGACATTTAAAGCCGATGCTAGCTTTGAATGGGGCGCCAGGTGTTAAACAAAATGTCACTGAAACATTTTCATTGTTTAGCTCACTTTGTGATTGTAAAATCCTTCTAACATTCCGCCAAAATGTTATTATTTAGCTCACTATTTTTACTTTTTGCTAATTTTAATTAAATGTTCAGTTTAATAATTAAATGTAAAATGTTAAATGTAAAAGTTAAATCTTGAATGTTCTGGCTTAATGTTGAAGTTCGCATTTAAGTATTTTGGAATGGAACACAACTTCTTTCATTGGCGTGCAGCTTGTGTTATGATGCTGCTAATGCTTCCCTAAAGTCCTGAAACATTCCAGCACCTTCAGGACCATGGACAGTTCCTTTAACCCTTCACACTGTCTAAAGCAGTGATTCCCAACCAGGGGTATGCGAGCATTTTACAGGGGGTAGGTGGAAAAAATTTCCAGGTGTGTAAAAATAAATAAATAAATAATAAAAAAATAGGACTGAGACATGTAGGACCCTATTATTTCTGCAATGTGGAAATTGCAGATGGAATCACAGAATTAACACAAAATGGAATCCAGTATAAAATGTGGAATCTCACAGAATTTGCTCATTTTGGACAATATAATGTATTTTGGATGCTGTTGTTTTCTGCACTTTATTTAACTACTTATTCAATTTCAAGGCAACATTTTTATCTTCATGTTTAATTTGAGTTGAAAAAAATGCCTGAGAATTAAATGTTGTGGGGGGTTAAATAAATCATTTTCATTTAATAATCAGTGGTAGTACATTATAGTTTTGGAGAATCATCATTACGTTTCACTGAAGGCGTACTAGTGGTATGACAAAATGGCTCAGGGGTACACAAGTCTAAAAAGGTTGGGAACCACTGCAGACATCAAACTAGTTGCGACTGCGTGGYATCTGAGCTCCACATCAAACTGCTGGACCACAGGTTCCATCCATGTTGTTTCCAATGAACACTTTGAATTAAAGTTTTAAATGGCATCTTCAGTAGCATTAGCATTGTTAGCATTGTTAGCATTTTCTTTTGTCTCAGAATGATGATGTCAAAAAGCCAAGTCCATTCTGAAATTCCTAAATGTATCCTTTAACATTTAGCTGCACCATTCAAGATTTAATTTTTACATTTACATTTAGGATTTAATATTTACACATTGCATTTAAATGTAACATTTAAACTTAACATTTGGTAAACAGTGAACTAAATAATAATAAAATGTTAGTAGAAAATTTATAACACTGAGAAACTGAGTTGAATAATGAAAATGTGCTAACAAGTGTTTTTGACATTTTATTTTACACTTGGAGCCCCATAGCCGTGCTTCTGCGTTTTTAACCTTTGGTTCATGAATTTGCCACCGGACGGAAAGTTGTGTTTCTGTGTTACGCTGATAAGCTTATCTTCAATTCACTGACCACAGAGAAGTTTATGGAGCAGAGCTGCGCAGTAAATAAAACTAAAGACCCAGCATTCCTTAAAGGAATGCATATCGCCCGCAACCTTCACGTCAGAGTTTTAAAGTGAAATGACTTCATGCTGAGATGAGAGGGAGCTACAGCCGTTAGAGATAGCTGTTGGTTTATAAATATTCCATCAAAATAAAATGCATATTTGATGATGTGCAGGGAGGCCTGTAGGGAACAGGAACATCTTGGTTGTTTGGGAAATTAGGCCAAATAAGGCAGCATCCATCACGCTCATCTTTACACAACAAGACAAAAACAAAAGCTTGGAAAACCCAGAGCAGCTCCGCAGCTTTTCACGTCCTTTGATGATGAGGTTTTGTTTTTTTTGTTTTGCTCTTGGTGAATAATTATTCCTTCTGAGTTGTTCCTGTTTACATCAAAGCTCTGCAGCGGAGGTAAAAGTAGGTTAATCATGTTTCGTCTTTCCTCTCTGTGTCACTGGGTTAGTATTCTCAACATGCAGTAATGTTTCCTCTCTTCCCAGCTTACAAAGAGAAGATGAAGGAGATTTCTGTTCTCTCGCTCATCTGCTCCTGTCTGTACCCCGAGAGCCGCAAAAACATCCTGGGTGACTTTGAAGGTAGATTCAAGCCCAGATATTGTCAATGTGGCAAATAAATTTGCAACTAAGTTTTTTTTAATCTTTTTCTGCTGTGTGTGCAGACATGGACATCAAGCCACTTAACAAGCGTGCCTCGGGCCAGGCCTTCGAGGTCATTCTGAAGCCGCCCTCCCCCGTGTCTGAGGTGGCTCACTGCATCACCGGCGCCCCCAAGAGGGACATTTCTCTGGAGGACATCCAGAAGAAGCTGGAGGCAGCTGAGGACAGAAGGAGAGTAAGTTCCTGTCATTCTAACAGCAGCAGGAATGATTAAAAAAACATTAAGCTGAAAGGATTTGTTTTATTGCTGCAAAAATGTCCTGAWGCAACTAATTCAACTTTATTAGTGAGTTTTAACAGCTGCATTGAAAACAATCCAATCCAGCTGAACTCTAGCGTCCCACTGATTCAAGTGTGAATAATGTCAACAGCACCAGCAACCTACTGGAAAATCATTTAAACAATCATTTATCAATCAGTTTCCCAGTTTATTAAAATAACTCATTAAAACTGTGTGTCCTGAGAAAATGAAACATATTAAAGCAAAGTTTAAAATCAAACATAACAATTTATTTTGAGCTTTATCAGGTGCCGTTTAAATAATGTTTACTTCAGCAATTTTACAGATATAATGGTGTATATTGTGAAATGCAGGTCCACACTCAATGTAAACAAATCCTTTAGTTTAATCTGCCAGGAACCACATGGAAGTTGGAGTCTGTAAACAAAGTGATAAATTTAACATTTAACCTGTTTTTAGTCACTTCGGCTGCTTTTGTAGGCAAACAAAAGCGTGTAGTCACAAATTTAACCACCATTATGAAAATAGTTGGGCAGATTTTGTTTCTTATTTCATGACTTAATGAGTACCTTAGAGATATTTTTATAGCAAAAATGTGAGTGTGTGAGCCACTGAACCAGGTGCAGTTCAGAAAACCACAATCTCAGCCCTCATTTTTCTCCTAAATGATCCCTCTTGTCCTCCTCCTCCTTCAGTCCCAGGAGGCTCAGATTCTTCGGATCCTGGCCGAGAAGCGGGAGCACGAGCGCGAGGTGCTGCTGAAGGCCATGGAGGAGAACAGCAACTTCAGCCGCATGGCCGAGGAGAAGCTGCAGCTGAAAATGGAGCAGATCGAGGAGAACCGGCAGGCCTACCTGGCCGCCATGATGGAACGCCTGCAGGAGAAGGTGAGAGGCGGGAAAAGATCCAACACATGATGGACGAGTCTAGAATGAATTGCTAAATAGGCTGTAAACCAAGATGGACTGTTTTATTCCAAAGCAAAAGAGGAGCAAACAGGGCAGTAAAACAGCAGGAAAAACAACAAAAAACAGGCGAGGATTAAAGAAATATTAGACAGAAAGGTTGTTGACTGAGAGTGCAAATACTCCAACAAAAGACAAAGAATAATTAAAATGAGATCTGCTGTTAAAAAAACACGTTTGTTCTTCAACCCTGATTTCCCTGACTTTTATTCCAAATTTATTTAAAGAAATCAGTTGTCTTAACACAAACGAGGAAACAAATTCACAAAATAGTCAAACTATGGATTCAATTCAGTAACAAATAATGCATCCCAAATTGTTCAACAATAACATTTTAATATTTACATCTTTATGATTTTTATAAAAATGTCCTTTTGGGAATTCTGGCTACTCACCTTTGCTCAATATATTTATTTTTAATACTTCATTACATTTTATATCAGAAAATGACTTTTAAATACAGTAAAAAATCTGATAATTTATAACATTTAATCAATAATATTCTTATGTTAAGGAGGCATTAACTTTTACCAAAATAATTTAATGGTAAGACTTGTTTAACCCAAGTATCTTTTGAGGTACTTTATACATGACTGATTATACTGAAATAGGACATTTTTAATGAAAATTTGACAGTGTTCACATTATTTTTAACAATGATTGTAAATGCAATACAGAAGAAATCTAAACCACATAAAGCCAATTTGGGGAGAATTTAAATCCTGCCAGGATTAACTGCCACATTTAAATATATAAAGTTTTTTTTTCTGCATGTGAATTGTTTGTTATACTGTATTTACTTTCATTCAAAGGACATCTGTCAAACTCAGGGCCTGTGGGCCAAATCTGGCCGTCTTTATCATTTTATTCGGCCCCAAATATAATATTTTAACTGCGAACTAGTTTTTATTTAGTGCATTGTTCTCATGGCAGCTAGGCAGCTTTCAAGCTGAGAAAAAAAAGTCTTTTATTCTGTTGAGGATAACAGAGAACTGACTTTAACTATTTTTAACTGTATTAGTTTTTTATTTTTAGCAAGAGTTTTTTTACCTGTTATGCTAGTTTGTGATAAAATGTATCTTTAATTTTTTTATCTAAGTTTTTGATAAAAAAATAAGGCATAAGAAATTAATGCTAAAGATGCTAAATGTTTTCTAAATTTAATAGTTTTTCTTCATTCATAAGGTATATTCTATACACATAAAAGTTAGATAAAGCATCATTTGGAAAAGTCATTTGCATATCTACAAAAAATAGGAATGGAACACAACTTTTTTGTTTGGTGTGCAGCTTGTGTTATGATGCTGCTAATGCTGCTAACACTTCCCTAAAGTCCTGAAACATTCAAGCACTTTCAGAACCTTGGACAGTTCCTTTAGTCCTGCACACTGTATAAAGTCCTGAAACATTCCAGCACTTTCAGGACCTTGGACAGTTCCTTCAGTCCTTCACACTGTTTAAAGTCCTGAAACATTCCAGCACTTTCAGGACCTTGGACAGTTCCTTCTGTCCTGCACACTGTATAAAGTCCTGAAACATTCCAGCACTTTCAGAACCTTGGACAGTTCCTTCAGTCATGCACACTATAAAGTCTTGAAACATTCCAGCACTTTCAG